ATTTAGCAAAAATAATGGCTCAAAAAGGTTTTGGGATGAAAAAGTTACAAAGGTTTGAAGTTGTGAAGAAAAATAACAAAAATAAGTAATAAAAAAAGAGAGAATGGCCTTGGTGGGTGTTAAACCCACACTAGGTTGGTTCACATCACAAAACCTAGCCATCTGAACTAACATGCACATGTGATCATATAGGGAAACATCAATATATATTTTAAAACAACTTCAGAAATCCAAAACAAAAATAAAATAGCACAAAATGGCAAAAGGGTGGTCAACCAGACTCGAACTCGGGACTAGCACAAAATGGAAAAATGGCTGGGCATGCCCAAGAATTTTAGGTTTTGTGTCATTTGCAAAACCCAACATAACTATCTCATTTCTACTTGAAAATGGACGAAACAAAAGCCAAACCTTCCTAGAATTTCCTAAGGATCACAATGGTCCAATTGGTTTTGCACAAAAATGCTTCTAAAATAAAACACGATAGCATAACCTCAAGTGGCTCAAATTTGCAAGTTCTAAGGCATACTCTCATACAGTTCATAATAGCATCACAAAATGGTTTAAACATGACACAAATAACATATTAAACATGTTCAAATTCAAAGGACATCATATTTCAAAGGTTCAAAGTTTCATGGTACTTACCTCTTGAAGCTCACTTGCCAAACTCCAATATGCTTGCTACAGAAATGAAACAATGACTTAGACACCTCCAATAGACCTCTAAGGAACTTCTTGAATGCTTAGAACCAAAGGGAAACCACCAGAATTGAAAATGCCTCTTTCTTGCAAAATGGTAAAAAATGACCAAAATAGAAACTACACTAAATGGACTCACAGTTAGAAAACTATGCTTGGAACAACTCAAGGTTTTTTTTATTAGAGAGTGTTTGAAGGATTAGAAGGTTTGGAAATGAACTGGACAGTGTTTTGAATGTAGAAATGCAGAAAAGTCAAATATGAGGTTTGAGAGTTGACTTTTGAATTTGCTGATTTTTTGATGGTTGTGATGATCTGAACACCTTTGATACATGTTTTATGATGTGTTAGAGTGATTGGTTTAGTGACTGGAAATGGTTTTGGGAATCTTTGAGAAATATGATGTTTTGAAGGCAAAATGGATGATGTTGTGCAAGAGTTGCTGCAAGAGGGATTAGAGAGGCTTTTGCTGATGTTTTTGTTATGTGTTTAACGCTTGGTGAAAGGCTCTATTTATAGGGAAAGAATGAGAGCAAGTTGTCTGCAGAATTGCAACTTGGTTTGGTTCACGGTCTGGTTGAAATTCAAGTGTAGTTTCATGAGATTTCATGGTTCCAATGCCAAGTAAAACTTTTCTGAAGTTGTTGGAAAGTTTAGAAAGGTTACTTCTATTCAAAGAAAGTGTTTTAGTGTAGAGAAACAATCACAAAGCTCAAGAAGAGTGGACTTTATAATTAAAGCTCTTTTATGGGAATTGAAGTGTGATCTTTATGGAAAAACATTCAATAAGTGGTACGATCACATGGATAACGACTCAAATCCTTCTGTAATACACCGAGGGTTTGTGTAAACACTCAATTAAGTAGATGTTAAGAAGCAACATAACCTACAAGATCATATTGAGTATGTTTGGCATGGACTTTCACTTGATCCTTGCCAAGAACATGACTTAAAAAATCAAGTTTTGAGGCTAACTTCTCCTCTTCGGAACTCCTAGCTCACAAATGATATGGAGGAATTCTTTTAATTTTGAAAAGCTAGAAACATTCTCTACAACTTTCATGTTTTAGGTTTTTCTTGATTCTCAATTAATCACGGTGAAAACTGGATCCAAAGTTTGGTACTTTTGATGAACACAATCTGCCTTAAAAATTTTCTAAGTATTTAAACTTTTTTACAAACTTGATGGCTCCATAACTCAAAATCTAAGCACTTTTTGGAGATGGACTCAAATTTACAAAGTTGTAGTATGTCACGAGGGCTTAAATTTGATCCTTGGATCATACAAATTGGATATGTAGATTGAAAGTTATGACTTTCCAAAGTTGACACCAAACAGGGTCTTTCTTCCCATACTTAGAAAATTTTCAATTCTTCCACTTTGCCCCTTTTGCAAGAAACCATTCAAATCTTGATTTTTCATGCTCAAACTCAATGATCAAACATGTCTTAATTAAATTTGGCTTAAGGACTTAAACTTTGACCAAAGAACTCAAAAGTCAAAGGGTTGATTTTGTCAAATAAAGCTTGTGTATCAGATGTATTCAACTGCGTGATCTTCAATGATCTTGCATTCTTGAACTTTCTAAACATCATAGATGGACTCCAAGGATGTATTTGAGTGTATTGAATCATGTCCCAAGGCTTGGGATCTTGCTTTAATCAAAAGTCAATGGTATAATTGACTTTTCTAAACAAAACCCTAATTTGGGGTCAGACGAATTTAAGCTTCAATGAATTGGTGATGAGACCAAATTGCACTTGATTCTTGATGAAGAGATGCCTCTTGAGGGTATGCACACTTGGTATGTTGATGATCAATCCAATACATTGACTGATCAAATGAAGATTCTCTTGATTCCCCTTGGGGCAAAACCCTAATTCAGATGAAACAAGACAAAAGGCAATTTGAACAATATTAGAGTTAGCAATGCAATGTGATATGCTCCTAGAAGGATGATGGAATCTAGGGTCAAAATTTGGGATATGACACCAATTTACAAATCTTCTAATAATGTATTTTTTCTCTACAGTTTATCTAAAGGTCGTATCTGAGTATCGACCATTAGGTTAAACACAAGGATGTTGTAGTTTGGACTACAAAAATAACAATAGTTAGGTTCATTACTGTGGAGAGGCATTAGAGTGGCCTATCAAACTGCAGTTCGACACACAATAACAAATCCTATACCCACAACGTGTTTAGGACAATGGCATCAACTAAGAGTCGATGCCATTGAAATTATTCTGATTGGAGAGAAGTCGCTGCGGAGACGTGTCATCAATGGAAGCACTGACATCAACATATCATAAACGAACCTATCACGCAGGATGCTAGACCAACTCGGAATTATATGAATTGGTATAGGTCAGTTACAACGACACAATTTGTGTCTGACCCGGGGTATTTGATCGACCCATGCCACCGAGCTTCGTCATCATATGCCCTGCAACAATCCCCCGCCTAACAACCAACCCCACAGCAATACCAAACCCAACAACATTGTCAACTCATCCAAACCCAACAACGAACCCCACAACATCACCATGTCATATACACCAAACAACCAATCGAACATGATTACGAACCCACATACACCAACCGCACAATCAATTCATGTCACACACCCAAACATAAAATCAAGAGCATGACTCATATCACCAACAACCATATACCGCCACCACATCTTACTATAGCCCCGACGAGGCATATGATTTCACTCAATCCTATCATAGCACCCAACCAATGGATACCCAAACATCACACCACCAAAGCACCCAAATATCACATCGTCAAAGCACCAAACCGACACATGTCTTTCAAATACCACAAGAACCATAAAGATTTAATGTCCCAATTCAACCTAACAGTTCGACCACACTAACACAACCAACACGACCCAACTAAGACAACATGAGCACCAAACTCAATTACAGCAACCCCAACTACTAGGAAAATATGATCGAAGATTTGATAGATAACATTAATATCCCAAGAACCTCGCACCAACCACCTTTGCCTCGTGTGAATATTAGGAGACCCTAAACACCTCAAAGAAATCGCGGGAGACCTCGTAGACAAGCGAATCTGTCAAGATGTGGAACCAGTGAATGTTACAATTGAGCGAATCATTAAATTTCTCTTCAATCGTTGTGTAATTCTATTTGATGGTAATATTATTATTTATTTTTTAATAACTATTCTATTATTAATAATTAAAAGAAATAAAACAACACAGTAACCACTGACAATGACGCATGCTCCTAAAGGATGTACGCATGCGCCACAAATAATGGCATGACACGAGCATACGCCACAGGGTATGACGCCTTAGACCAACAATGAGTGCATGCGCTACAGATGGTAACACATATTATTGGAGACACATTTTTTTCTTTTAAATATAGTTAATTTGATTTTTATTTTTTTTGAAAAAATGATAATTTTAGAATTAAAATAAACATGATTATTTAAAAAAAATCGAATATGGGTGCCAAAGAGAAAATAAATCAATTTAAAAAAGTGGAAGATTAAAATGTTAGAATCACACTTTGTATCCAAAATAAAAAGAATGTGAACATAGATGAAGAAATTTCTGGCAAAGTTTGAAATAAGTCAACACAGATGCTGAAAAGGCCTCATAAGTCATGACACATGGATTCTTTATGATGATTTTGTCCGTAACTATTTCTGTCTTATCCTATCCTGCACCATAGACCATAGTCCTACTTTTGTTTTCTATTTATTGCTGGCAACCATTTTCTTTCCCGCTTTATTTTCCTCTCTGTGTATGCTGTACAATATGACATTTATAAAAGCTGCATTTTACCATTCCTCATCAGAGTATATGTACAAACTTTTAAAATACTAAGAAAACAAATTTTAAAATAATGAAATATTTTACAAAATTGTCCTTATATATAACAATTAAATTTATAAGATTGATTACAAAATTACTATTTAACAATTTCTTTAACTTGTAAACCTTTTTAGATATATTCACAAAAATTAAAAAAAATAATTTATAAATAGAGAAAGAGTATCATTTAAGTATATGAACAATTTTAAATTTAGTTGAGTACTAATCACCAACACCTTTTAGACAAGAAAATGTGACAATAAATAATCTGATAAAGACATTCACACCTTTTCATGTAAGAGTTGTGTCATAGGAGCATTACTCTTTCATGTAATGTCCAAACCCCAACACCATTTCATTTTTCTTCACCTTTGAAACAAACACCAAAACCCACACCAATCTCAAAACCCAAAACCTCTAGAATCTCCTCCATCAAACATGGCAATGAGCAACAACATCATAGGGTTCATAAACCTACTCGCCGTGATCCTCTCCATCCCCATCATCGCCGCCGGGATCTGGCTAACAAACGAACCAGCAGACACATGTGTCAAGTTCCTCCAATGGCCAGTCATAATCCTCGGCGTTCTTCTCCTAATCGTGTCCCTCGCTGGTTTCATCGGTTCCTTTTGGAGAGTCCCATGTCTCATGATATTCTACCTCGTTGCAATGCTCGTCCTTATTATACTTCTCGTTTGTTTGGTTGTTTTTGTTTACATGGTCACTGTTCGTGGCCATGGCATGATGGAACCTAATCGGGCTTATTTAGAATACCGTTTGGATGATTTTTCTGGCTTTCTGAAAAGGAGAGTGAGAAGCTCTTTTAAATGGGATGTTATCAGAAGTTGTTTGAGTGAAACTAACATGTGCGCTGAGTTGAATCAGAATTTTCGTATGGCTCAGGACTTCTTTAACGCACGTCTCACGCCAATGCAGGTATATTAATATAACACATTTTATCAGTGTAACTGTTTTCAGATATTTTTGTCTATAAACCAAGTCACAAACATTTGTATATATATATTTTTCTTGTTTGATTATTTTCAGACTGGATGTTGCAAGCCACCAACACAATGTGCATACACATTTGTGAATCCAACGTATTGGATTAGTCCAATAAACAATGCAGCAGATATGGATTGTCTTCAATGGAGCAACGACCAGACACAACTTTGTTACAGTTGTGATTCATGCAAAGCTGGTCTGTTGGCAAATCTTAGGAAGGAATGGAAAAGAGCAAATGTGATATTGATGATCAGTGTTGTTGTTTTAATTGTGGTTTATTTGATTGGGTGCTTTGCTTTTAGGAATGCCAAAACTGAAGATCTCTTTCGCAAATACAAACAAGGCTACACTTGATTATCACAAGATTTCTTCATAGTAGTATTCTTGTGTTGTGATGAAATTTGGAGGGTCATTTTGTTTAGTTTAATATTAGTGTTGGGTTGGGAGAAAAGTTAAAGAATTTTATGTAGTATGAATTTGTGTGTTCCACTTATTTTGAGAAGAAAAGATGCTTGTTTTTTTATGGGGAGGCCACCGAAAGCTGATGTCTCGAAAATCGAGCGTGGAAAGACAGTCAAGAGAGGATTTTTGGGGTTGTTGTTTGTTTTGTTTTAGAATCATAGGCTATCCATGGCTTAAAGAGAAATTTGGGTATCCAATGGGAAATAGAATCTCCCTTCCATGTTTTGATTGGGTTGAGGCTCTAAAAAAGATAAAACTTGATTAAAGAAGTCACTGAAAAGAAGGAATTATGGTAATTATATATTAAAATTACACACGTGGTCTGTTTTTCCAATAACAAAGAACAGTTAAGTTTGTTCTAATTGATGCAGAGGTAAGAAAATTTCTACAACAAATCAGATTTTTTCACGTACCTGCCCTTGTTTGAAAAATTTAATTCCACAATGCCCTTTTTAAAAACTTATTTACAAGGATACCCTGGTTTAGTAGGAGTTCGTCCAATCAATGGACGAACTAGTGAAAGCAAAGAGGAAGTTCGTACTTCCCATGGACGAACGTTGGGAAGGAGTTGGTTTTTTTTTTTGTTTTTTAATTTTTTAATTTTTTGTTAATTATATTAAAGATATATTTAAATAATATAATGTAAAAAATATTTAAATAAATTAATATAAAAACTTTTAAATAATTTAATATTAAAACTATTTATATTATTTAGTATAATAACTATTTTATTAATTTAATTTAAAAACTATTTTATTAATTTAATATAAAAAAATTACTGACAGAGGAGCAACTGACGCAAATGTCAGATTTTAACATCGAAGATATTCTAAATGATGATGAATCAGGACCCTCTACAAGGCAGACAATCCCCCCGAGAACACATCATAATGAAGATTTGTCTTCAGACTCCTCTCAATCAGCTGCAAACGAGCGTTTGGGCAGAGGATACCGACAGCGAAGGCCCCCTAGGTGTGGAACTGGAGGTCATCTCCGATGAGATGCGTATTTATTTAATCATTTATATTGTTGTAATTTAATCTTCTAATTTTATTGTTGTAAATTATTTAATCAATTAGTAAAATTGTTTTTAAATTCAATTAATAAAATAGTTTTTAAATTCAATTAATAAAATAGTTTTTATATTAAATTAATAAAATCTGGCATTTGCGTCAGTTGCTCCTCTGTCAGTAATTTTTTTATATTAAATTAATAAAATAGTTTTTAAATTAAATTAATAAAATAGTTTTTATATTAAACTATTTAAATAGTTATTATACTAAATAATATAAATAGTTTTAATATTAAATTATTTAAAAGTTTTTATATTAATTTATTTAAATATTTTTTACATTATATTATTTAAATATATCTTTAATATAATTAACAAAAAATAAAAAAATAAAAAAACAAAAAAAAAACCAACTCCTTCACATGTTCGCCCATTCAATGGGTGAACTTATGCATGAAAAATTCTCTATCACACGTTCGCCCATGGGAAGGACGAACTTCCTCTTTGCTTTCACTAGTTCGTCCAATGATTGGACGAACTCCTACTAAACCAGGGCATCCTTGTAAATAAGTTTTCAGAAAGGGCATTGTGGGATTAAATTTTTCAAACAAGGGCAGGTACGTGAAAAAATCAACAAATCACACATAATTTGTCTTACAATTTTCATATTTATATACTTGTGATCTAGCTGTTTTTTTATAGGGGGCATATTCAAATGCCAACTACATATAAATCTACTTTTAATTCAATGTTATTGGTTAATAATATATACACACTGAAATCTTTTTTAAGTTGAGAAAAATGATTTAATATTTAAGACCTCATACCATAAATACATGTTGAAATAGACTAATAATACAAGGGTTGTTGATTTAAACAAACATTAGATTCTAGTTGTTCCTCTCAAATTCAAACATTTAAAAAAAAAATATTTTTTTAATAAATACTCTCTCCATTTTCTCTTATAAAAAATAAAAAATTATAATTTTTTTTCTTCTTTTATAAGTGTTCTGGCCTGGGCTCGGCCTCGCGGCCCAGCCCAATAACGGACAAGGCTCAATAAGTGAGGCAGTTTGACCGGGCACGCACCCCCCGCCGGACGGGCCGGATACGCTCCCTGTCAAGCAGGACGACGCGCTTCTAAGCGTCTTCGGCGCTCCCCCTAACCGGACAGAACAGCCTCCGCGGGCGGTATTCCCCATCCCACCGAGCAAGAGCCCATGGCTCTCCCACGTCCACGTGTGCTCCCTTCCTCGGGGAGAACGACACGGCTCCGATGAACCTCGTGAGCTCCCCTCCGCAGGGAGAACAACGTGGCCTGTGCGCGTTCTCCACGTGCTCCCCTACGCGGGAACACGTCACCAACCAACTGCCCACCTCCGAAAGAGCAGGTCAAACCCACTTTCCGGAGATCAAGGAGCAGTTGGACTAGGGCAAAGACCACGTCCTGGTCTTCACTACGCCACGTAAGCCCTAGCAGTCACCTGGGTTGAGCCTGACAATCCAGCCCAACGCAAGTGACCGTTGGCCCAGCGCTGGGGTCTCTCTATAAATACCCTCTTTCTCAAGAGGGTCAGGGAATTCACTTCTTGCCCATTTTCTGTGCTTGTGACCACTCTGCCCAACTCCTTACTTTGGCATCAGAGTGTTTTGCAGGTACACCCCCCTTTCTCCTCCTCATCACAGGTGAACAGGTAGCAGTCCAACAGCGTGTGGCCAGCCCATGATCCCCTTCTGATCAGGTCAGATGAATTACCTTCTTGCAAATGAGGATGACCCAACGTGTGGTACTTTATTAACAAGAGGAAACACACCAATTTTTCCTGAAAATAACTCGTTACCTTCATTGTCAAATGTAGGCCTTGCAATTGCAGCTAAAAACATGATTTTTTCAATGTAATTTTTGTTTTTGCACGTACGATGGGTCATCCTCATTTGCAAGAAGGTAATTGATCTGACCTGATCAGAAGGGGATCATGGGCTGGCCACACCGTTGGACTGTTGTCTGTTCACCGGTGATGAGGAGGAGGAGGGGGGTGTACCTGCAAGACACTCTGATGTCAAAGTAAGTATATGGGCAGAGTGGTCACAAGCACAGAAAAGGGGTAAGAAGTGAATTACCTGACCCTCTTGAGGAAGAGGGTATTTATAGAGAGACCCCAGCGTTGGGCCAACGATCACTTGTATTGGGCTGGATTGCCAGGCCCAACCCAGGTGACTGCTAGGGCTTACGTGGCGTAGTGAAGACCAGAACATGGTCTTCGCCCTAGTTCAACTGCCCCGTGATCTCCGGAAAGTGGGTTTGACCTGCTCTTTCGGAGGTGGGTAGTTGGTTGGTGACGTGTCCCCGCAGAGGAGAGCACGTGGAGAACATGTGCGTGGCACGTTGTTCTCCCTGCGGAGGGGAGCTCGCGAGGTTCCCCGGATGCATGTTGTTCTCCCCGAGGAGGGGAGCACCCGTGGACGTGGGAGAGCCACGGGGGTCCTGCTCGACGGCATGGGGTATACCGCCCGTGGAGGGCAGTGCTTGGTCGTGTGGGCGATTCTCTTGCCCGGCGTGGTCTAGACAGTTCTTCCTTGCGGGGAGATATTTTCTTGTGTGTCGGGGACCTTGTGCCCGACGCGATACCCGGACTGGATAGGGCCTGATGGAACATTATTGGGCTGGGCCAGCATAGTCAGCTCGGGGCCCAGGCCAGAACAGGAGCCCCCCAAGTCGTTGCTCTGAGGATGGGAGTGAGGACTTGATGAAGTCGTTCCGGGGAAGTGGACCGGTCCGGGGGAAGATTCCTCCGAGCGGGGACGCGTGTTCTTCGTCGTCGATCATTCGGGCTCGAAGACGGGTATTGGCGGGGAGAGGTGAAGAGACGCGTCTGTCTGCTTCCACCACGTGTCGCGTTCTGGGTGGCTGCTAGGGAGGCTACCCTAGGGTACTCAAGTGTCTAGTGACGCTTCGAGTCCCGTGCAGGGGTACAAGTGAGCGAGCCCCTGCTCATTTCTCACTTTTCGCCCTTTTGTTCTCAAGTCTCCAGCCTGCTGTTCCGCCGTCGTTCGATATCTCCGCCGTCACAGCCATCGTGTTCTCCGTCGTCGATTTCGTCGCAGTAAGTTCTCTTTTTCTTTTCTCTTACTTTTCTTGTTTGTTTCTTGATCGTGGTCGGGGCTGTTTGAATGCCCCGAGGAGCGGCGAAAATCTCCGCCGTTCTCGAGGGTGTTTTAGGGTTTTTACTATGAATGTCCCGGGGAGAGATGCTAGTTCCGATGAGTGCCCCGAGGATGGAAGTCTTGTCCAATGAATGTCCCGGGGAGGGGAGCTTTTTCCGATGAATGCCCCGGGGAAAGATTCTTTACTCCGATGAACCTCCCGGGGAGCGACGTCTATCCGACGGATGCCTCCGATGTGGGTTTACAGTTTGGGTTATACTGAACCGAGGAAATTGTAGGTTAGGGCAGATTCACTAGGGACGATGCTCGGGGAGTCCTCGTCGCCCTTTCACTTGACTTGCGGTGGAAGGGTGAATTTGATCTTTGTCATCGAATTCACCGTTACCTTCTGCTTTTCAGGTGTTTAATGACTACGCTCGTCTTGGGCACAATGGCCGAGGATAATGAGCCAGACGTCCCCTATTTTGATGAGCGCGTCGTTCCGATCAGAGACTAGGTGGTCGAGGAGCCCCTCACCACGCTCTCTTGCTTTGCTTCTGACCCGATAGGGGCCTACGCCACCGTGGAAGACCGGAAAGAGGGGGATCCTCAAAACTGGCAAGTCTACCGCCCACGGCCAGGTCATCGGATCTGCTCGAAATACGGGCAGATGCGCTTTCCGATGTACGAGTTTTACTTCAAAGAGGCTAGGCTCAGGCTGCCCTTTTCGGACTTC